ATACACATTATATGTGTGTGTATATATATATGTATAAATATATATATATGTATAAATATATATATGTACATATATATATATATATGCATATATATATATATGTGTGTACATATATATATATATTTATATGTATATATGTATATGTATATATATATATGTATATATATATATTTATATGTATATATATATATATGTAGCATTATATGTAAATATATATATATACACAAATATACCTATATACATATATATATAGGTATAAACACACACATGTATATATATATATACATACATACATACATACATACATACATACATACATACATACATACATACATACATACATACATACATACATACATACATACATACATACATACATACATACATACATACATACATACATACATACATACATACATACATGTGTATATATATATATATACGCATTCACACTCCGAAGATCTCATACGTCTGCCGCAGTTGTCACGTAGGTTAACCGTCCTCGGCGCCACCAGCGGTGACACCGGTGGCGCCGCCATCTATGGAATGAGGGGCAAGGATAGCTCAAGGGGCCGGGGCCGGTAGATCAGTGGAACATCAAGGGATGTTTCAGCAGCACTGGGATTTAATGGGACTTAATGGGACGGAATGAATGGTGTTCTAATGATCTAATGGTGTTTTCATTATGTTTTAATAGTGTTTTTGACGGCGTTTTAATGGCATTTGATGGACTGAATGGGATCTACTGGGATTAAATGGGATTTAATGGGTATATAACCAACAACACTGGTGGTAGAGATCAGCAGCGTTTGCGTTCAAAATCCTTGTTGGTTGATGTTGTCCTTTTTTTTTGGGGGGGTTGCGCTTGCGCCTACCCTTGATATTAATTGGGGCTTATCATAGTCCATGAACTGGGAATCCCATTCTTATCTAATCTAACCACTATAACCTAATGACAGAGGAGTTCGAACATTGCTCACCTGTTAGCAGGTTTTTCATCATCCAAAATGCGGGATTTAAGCAGAAAAAAATCATGTGGGAATCAGCAGATTTGGGTTTGTAAGATTTGGTCGGAAAAAATAGGATGGATCTATATTAATCTATATGGTTTTAATCATCCTTTGGGTTGAACATGGTGTTCTTCAATGGATTTGACCATGGATCTGGGTCGATGGAATGTGACGATGGGGACGTGCTTCAATGTGCATCCCAGTAATCGCAAGTGGTTCATCTACAAATATATACATATAGGTACATATATACATGAATTGAGTATATATATATATTTATAATGTGTACATATACACCAGTATATATATAGCATATATATTATATAATATACTATATATATAATATAATATAATATAATATAATATAATATAATATAATATAATATAATATATACAATATAATATATATAATATATTATAATACAATATTATGTATATTATATATAATATATATATATATTATAACCGCCTGCATTCCCTGGAAATCAAGGGAAAGGTACAGCTGATCATACTTTATCCCTTCAACCAGGCGGCACCCCCAGAGCCACCCGAGGAGAACGTGGACTGCTTCATCCTCTTTCCAGAGGGCCGTGCTGGCGCCTGAGAAGGGACGTTCTTCATGGTAGCTAGCGCAATCAACCAATCAACCTGTGGTGGTCATCGGGTCATCTGTGCTAGGATCAAAGCGTGGTATATGGATGTATCTGGGTAAATTATAGCGACCTCACTGTTCTCCCTCACTGGAATCATGGTGAATTATAGGGGAATCATCCCCAAAAGGCCTTAATTCAGGTTACTGAAATATTATAATTTACCTAGATGTATATGTTTTATGGACATCCATTCCATAATGGAAATCCTTTCTTGTGGGTGTATAACTCCCTACGGGTTGATGACGATGACCCCCAGACTCTGGTGGGGTCAGTGCATCTGAAACTATGGTGATCCAACTTTTGATCATGGCCCGTCTCAATTTATAGCAACATCCATATGAATCCAGATGTTCACCGCCGAATCAGCAGTAAAGCAAAAGTTTGTCTCCACACAAGGTGTCCCACATTCAGCAGCAGCAGATGACCAGCGTTTTGGTCCCTTTGGCTGTGGTTTAGTCTGGGAGAATTCATTTATTTAGGACTTCCCAGGAGAAGAGCCATTTCGTTTGGAGGATCATTGGCTTGCAGGGTTACTCCAAGCCGTTGGTTTCGATGAGCCATTTATAATTATTTATAGATGATTGATGTGATTCACCAAAAAAAACATGCTCATTTTCTATAGCTGCTATAGCTACGCCAAAGAACCAGAGGGTATATTTTTCAGCCACTGGGGGGAAGTGGTTCCACTTCACCTCCGAAAATCTCTGGATGAATCACCTCGGAAAGCCGATATTTTTGACTCATAAAGATGGTCTGAAAAGGACTTAATACAGAAATCATTGGATAGTCTTTATAGATTTGGCTTAAATATCCAATTATTGGATACTGTCATATCTTTAATACCAGAAATAATTGGATAGTTAAAGAAGTAATTGGATACTGTTGGTCTTAAAGATGTTCAGATGACTCGGTGAAGATCGGAACTACTGTTGCGAAACTGTCCTGGTCCTGATGTTTTTTGTTTCCCTTCTTTCCAAGACTACGCATGCACACAATTCTACACATACGAGAAAACCCATAGATGTGGATTGTCGATTGTGTTTTGTAGATATGTCAAAAAATATATGTACATATATAATTATATATATAATATATATATATGATGATGATACAGGTGCATGCAACAAACACGCACATTCTGTGTATTTCTATTATTATATACATGTTATAATTATTATATAAAATGATGTGATTACTGTACATGAAATTGTCTGTGAAGGTGATGTATACTTGGGCCCCCAATGACATACCTTATTTTGGAAGTGTTCGTGCTCACCCAGAAACTGAGGAGCATTGTACCATCCCCGACTAACATAGCAGTGTTCCAACCCCTTTTTCGCAGGGTCTATCTTAGTTGGGGTTGTACAACGCATAGAAAACCAGTGAATGTGTCTTTTTATATCCGTTTTTTTTTGTTAGGCCCTTGAACAGGCTATTTTCATTTAATTTCTAGTCTACGCAGATGAACATGATATCGTGCAAGAACCCAGCATTTTTTTTTTTGCCGAGTATCCAAATCGACTCTCGATCGATCCATCCAATCCAATCCAATCCATTCATCCATCGATCCATCTCTATCGATCTGTCCGTCTATCCGCACCAAACTATGATACTGTGTACAATACGATATTCTACTATAAATCTCTATTTAATTCTATTTATATGAGAACTGTATAGAAGTATAATATAGAACAATTCGAAGTTCCGCGCACCTACTCATGCATGCAAGCAAGTACACACACTCACGTGCTGCCTGTACTCATCTGCACGTGCTCATTCATTTATCCGCACGAGTCCGTCCACGATTTCTCCCTAAATGTTTGCTGCTTTCCTGCACCCTTAGAAAATGCATTTACGATATTTTGAAGAAGCACAGGATAAACATGAATAGATTAAATAGATAGAAAATTCTGGAACAGACTAGATTGGATCGGATTGGATGATAAGATAGATTGGGTATACGGGAAGATACAACCCCAGATTCACAAGACCTGACTATTGATTGGGAGGGATACCCTCAACATAGTAATGAATTGCTCTTAAAGTTGGTTCTGCTCAATAAACCGGTTTTTCACAAGATCCCGGGTGAATGAATCCAACAAGAATTGGACATGTATCCCATGACCATGATATATTCTGCTAATTCCCATTAAAAAACACCATGAATTTCCATGAAGTCCCATCAAAACACCATGAAATCCCATTAAATCACCATTAAAATCCCATGAAATCATCATTAAAATCCCATCAAATCACCATTAAAATCCCATCAAAACACCATCAAAACCTCCCGCGAAAAATCACTAATGAAACACTAGGAGAATTCCGCCGTAGCTGCCGTAGCGGCCTCGTCCTAAGGATGACAATGTGCATTGCGTGGCCATCAAAGGAACCTTCGACGATTGCCAGGACATAGTGAAGGACCGTTGCGGCGATCACCGGGTTTCCATAGGGAAAATCCATACCCCAAGCTCGCTGGTTGGTTTATAGTGGAAAATATAAAACTCTATAAATAGATGATAACTGGGGGTACCCCTATGACTTAGGAAACCTTGTTATTTTTAGATGGATAACTGGCTATGGTTTATATGCTAAGTAAAAGATATATACAAACAATCAATGGATACTATGATCAATGGTCATTGCAGGTACCTTTGTTTATTGGAGGTACCTAGCAGCATCTATTTTTTGTTTTTGGCCTATTTTTTGGGCCGAATCTCCCAACAAAAACCCTCGGCCCTATGGATCCTGGGCTCCTGGGATCCTATGAGATCTGCAAATCCATGGGATTTCAGCAGCAAAAGATGGTGATTTTGGTATGGGGGAGAAATGACTGGGGCTTTCCCTGGGAATAGCCATGATGGCATTTTTTGGGGATAAATGATGGGGATATAACTGATATAACCTGATATACATGCTGACTTAACCAATGGGGATATAATGAGGATAGGTTTCAAAGGAAAATGATGTTGTAGCAACTGAGTGATCCTTTTCTAATATTCCCCTCATACCCTAGACACACCCCGAAAAGACAGACAAGTCGCACACCTGGAAATTCTGTTGAAAAATGTGGAAAATATGACCTATACCATCCTGGACATACTTTTCTATATTTATGGGCTTACTATATACATCTTGTTATAGTTATTACCCTCTGTTAAACTAACATAGCTATTTAAAATCGCCATTTTAATAGCCAATTTGCCAATTCATCCATTTTTATGGGCCATTTTCCACATCTATGTTAGGTTGCCTTTTTTTGGGTCAGTCAAGTCATGTTCTTTTGCAGAGTAGTTGATGCTTTGTCATCTCCCAATCGTCGTTGTCCGCAGCGCCAAGCAAAGCCAAGCTGGGTCTCATGCGCCATGGAGAGCGATGAAGATGAGGAAGCCAATGGGGCGTGGCCTGCGCCTGTGAAGCCAAAGACCTTGAATGAAGATCCTTACAACGCTACTCGGCACATGAAATCTGACGTAGTTGTGGATATACCAGGGCTAAATATTCTTGTATAACCTATATACATAATATATTATAACTATGATTATCTTATAATATCTTATAATGACATCCCAGGGGAACCATGGGGAACCAATAAAGACGTCGACTGGTCAGATGTGCCCATGTTGGCGGCACCTGTCTTTGCAAAATTGGATGTTCAACCTCAGGCTCAACACATCGCGTGGTCCACCCAATTCCAAGCTGTTTGCTTTGCAGTCGAGCAAAGGGTTGAGCATCGAACCACCCCCCAGCCCATTTTGGCCATCCATTTTTTCTTAAACAGCAGATCTGTTAGCTGTCTTGGTGCAGCAGGAACACGATAAAGGAAATGTCTTCTGGTGAAAGATTGGAACCTCCACCCAGTGATCACAACCCCCTCTTACACAAATCCGCATTTCAATGTGTCGAAAAAAACACTTAGACTGTGGACATAAACGGGTTGTTTGCTTGTGCAACTATTGTGTCGATCAATATGATATAAAATGGCTTCGGCAACCTTGCGTCATCCACATGTGGATTTCTGGGTTTCCGGAAGAATGGCTTGTTGGCGTGTTGGCTTTAACGTTTGCACATGCAAACCATCCGCCATAGTGCTTCCCGCTCCCGAACACCAAAGCTGAGTATTCACAAGTTGAATTGTGTTGAACATGAGCAATTTTTTTCGAAGCCCACCTCAAATAGCCGCTAAGTACATTCAAAAATGGTCGATTTTTTGGCAAGTTGAACTTGATAGCGGCCATTGAATTTTACGCAGAGCGCACATGTGGCACATGTTGGCACCTTCAATTCACCAACTCCAAATTGTCGAAGTGGAACGATCAGAACGCGAGGATCTGGTGATTTCTCGGGGCAGCTGTCCACATCGCCATCCACATCTTTCCACAGCCATCCACAGCCCCAAAGTACCACTGGTTGGTGGTTTCAAACATTTTTTTTATTTTTCCATATATTGGGAATAATCATCCCAACTGACTTTCATATTTTTCAAGATTGTTATTGCACCACCAAACAGACCACATTGTCAGGTTTTTGCGGAAGAACTTGCAATGGAAGTGTGTTCCTTGCCGCTGGTTGGACTTGGGCATGTGATCTCCTTGAGAATGGCAAAATCTGTCAACGCTTGCCATGCTGACATTTCAATTTTCATGCCTAATCATGGTTAGTCATCATTTTCCCAACATTTGATGATTATATAAATTATATATACGTGTGTGTATATATATATCATGATTAATAAAGCTTGCTATTCTACTGCAAACAAATCCGATAGGGGCAGCACATGCTATTAAATCTAGAATTCTTAGGTATGAATCTCATTTTTAATGCCTATATACTATATAAATGATGATATAACAACAGCAATACTAGCACAATAAAAAGACAGTCATCCTTTAGGAAACGCAATAGATAGCGATTTATCTGAGTGCACATATTATTTTCCGCCTAGGGGACGCAATATCGATAATATCTTAGTAAAAAAGGTCATTTTGCAGCGTAAGGGTTTATTTGCGGTAAGTTTGAGGGTAGTGACGACAGAATTATACAGCTATAAATCTTATACATAGATGATAATATAGAGGAGATAAGTCTAGGCGATTTTATGGTGTCAAGTGGCGAGATTTGTGCTCTTGCCTTGCTAGACACGTGCATAAGACTCTTGGTGGGTGTAGTAAATAGCAAGGAGTCTTGTATTAACGAGCCCTTCTCAGAAATTGAAGGAGTGGAGGGAGTTCTTGAATATCCTTTATGGGGGGAGTAAAGGTGCCGGACTTATGTCTGGTAAACAGCAAGAGATTTCTCATTGGCACAACGACCACCTATCAACACAACGACCTCGGAGGTCTGATTTAATAAAACCAAATTATGACATTCCCATATTTTTGATCCACAATTTTTAAGCCTATAATGATATGGTAACTTTAATCCCATAGTAATTTTCCCCAATTTTGAACTGTCATTTGGCCACAATTTTAGGCTACACCTTGCGCCTGGGGGGTCTGACGAAAATGTGTTGGAGTGTGTGCTTTTTCCCATGTTTTGATTCATTTTCATGGACGAAGACCTGACCCATTCCTAAGTAAATTTTGATTGTGTAATTAGTTTGTATTTCTTTTCGCACATGAGAGGATATATGCAGGGTGCCTGGTTTCTGAGAAGGTATCCGAGCGGTTGATTATGTCCAGAAATGCTGTAACCCTAAAATTACAGGTTAGTCATCATGATCCACATGTTTCAATGGCCACAATTTCGGGGTATCTCTCGTTTTCAGACCCGCATACCATGTTTATTGTTGGTGGTTTGGAACATGAATTTTATTTTTCCGTATATTGGGAATCATACTCCCATTTGACTAATATTCAGAGGGGTACTCCCAACTGCCCAAGTCGTGGCGAAATCCCAAAAATCTTGAAATTAGCTTGGGGGAAGGCTTTTGTGGAAGTCGTGGCGATGCGGCGTTTAGCTTGTGTTTAGGGTAGGTTGCTGTCTTACTATCTCATGTAGACCTAAAGTGGCGAAGCGGCGTTTAGGTTGTGTTTGGGGTAGGGCGTTGTTTTACTATTAGCATAGTGCTTTAATCTTGCTAGTTGCGTTCTCATTGTGTTTGGGATGGTTGCTGTTGGGTTCTGCAGCTACTGGCGTCTTGCTGTTGCTGCGGCTGCTGGTTCGACGGCTGCTGCTGTTGCTGTTTCCGGGTACTTCTACACAACGCTGGGATTATCATCTCTACACTGCCATGGCGGTGTGCTGGGATTCTGCAAATTGTCATTGTTTCGCTACCAGTGATCCAAGGAAGGGCAGGTTTGCGGCTTGCGGGCCAAAGTCCATGTGTGTAGATGCGGGGCTTTTTCCGTACCTCGTTTTGACCTCGTTTTGGACCTCGTTTTTTCCCTTATCAGAACCCATCCTGCAGTATACAAACTAGGAAAAGGGCCTGCTTCGCGTTTTTGTTTGTGGGCGTCAACAGTGCCCACGAAAAAAGGCCCGTTGGAAACCGGCGTTCCGATGGGATTCGATCAAAAACGAATAGAACATAATAGAACCATGATAATTTGGTCAAGGCTTGTTAAAGCTAGCGTTTCCAATGGGGAAAGGGGTTTTGCAAGGTCTGTGCCAGGACAGGGGTCGTGGCGAGCGTTTTGATTGGGAATAGCTGTCAAACGCAAACATTGCAAGGACTTGGGCGTATGGGTGTAGGTATACCACCAACCAGCTATTATTAGCTATTATTAACCATCATTAGCCAATGAACTAGACAATTCAAAAGCCTATTAGCATATTGTTGAGCATATTGCATTATATCCTACTGTGTCCTCATGAAATTGGTGGTTCGTTCCCCATTTTCTTGGTGATTTGTCACTGCGAATCCCATGGCTATCATTCAATTTTCCCATCTGCAGAGCCTTTTTTCCACATGAAAATCCACAAGTGCCATGGTCAAGAGTTGTATCTGGTATATGGTCAAACATTATGAGAATATGTATATGCTGGGTATATGCTGTGTATAATATTATGTATATACCCAGCACATATTCTCTATCTCAGAATATTATACCCTCTGGTTATTTAACATAGGTATGGAAAATCCCCAAAATACATGGAGGTTTTAATAGGCAAACCCATCTTGAGAATGTTATACCCAGCAGGAGTGATGCATTTTTGTATCTGGGGGCATTGGCTCCCCAGCCATTCGGGGATGGTCGAAATTTCCCCGTTTTCGCGGATGACCATAGAACCATGATTTCAAATAGGATCATGTGAAAAAATCATCCAGTGACAGGTATTTTTTTGACATCATTTCCAGGATTTCACAGCATTCACATCACTGGTTGGTGGTTTGGAACATGTTTTTTTTTTTAATTTTCCATAGATTGGGAATGTCATAATCCCAACTGACGAACTCATATGTTTCGGAGGGGTAGGTATACCACCAACCAGTCATCATCATCATCATCATCATCATCAGTTGAATAGAAAATTTAAGAGGGACATTCCTCATTTAATCCGTTTTTTGATCTTCCCAATTACCATCGTAAGTTGCATCATCCCAGCCAGGTAAGGTGGGCTTCCAGGTAGCCGTGGAACTCATGGAAACAGCACCTCGATGGAGCAAATGATGATGACGCGAACTGGTTTTTGTAATGGGATAACTGGGATGTTGGTAACTGTTTTAGACAATGTTAGAATTAGAAACTTTTTTTTTACTTAGAAGTGAGTTTTTTTGAAACTGGGTTAAACTAGTAATAAGAAGCGATTTTGTCCATGAGACATCATGAGACCCCACCTGCAATGTCTCTTGGTCTATGAAGAAGATTTCTATTTGGTGGTTTGGAACATTTTTTATTTTTCCATATATTGGGAATAGTAACCCCAACTGACTTTCATATTTTTCAGAGGGGTGGCTCAACCACCAACCAGATTTCTATGTTCCAGTTATAGTAACCACTTTGAAATGGCGGCCATTTCTCAATGGGACTTTCCATCTGGTGAAAAGCGCACCGATTCGCCGGAGCAGCCAGTGTTGAAGGAAGTCCCCTTAACAGTCGGACGGCGTTGTCGTTGTGTTTTTTTTCCCCATAGATATCATGATGTCATCATGGATTTCACGTTGGGAATATGACCAAAAAACATGGGATTTCTTGGAATTCCACCAGTTGGTTCACCAAAATGGAGCTGGTCTTGGACCCAAAAAATGCTTGGTCCAAATTGGGCACCTACTCGTAGCAGCTAGTATCTGCTTTGCAACCATGGTTAAGACCCACTTCAGCACGTGTTATGTATGGAACATATTAACATATGTTAACATATATTAACATATATTGGCATATATTAACATATATTGGCATATATTAACATATATTGGCATATATTAACATATATTAACATATATAAACATATATTAACATATATTAACATATTAACATATAACATATATTAACATATGTTAACATATATTAACATATGTTAACATATAACATGCATTAACATATATTAACATATATTAACATATGTTAACATATATCAACATATATTAACATATCTTAACATATATCAACATATATTAACATATATTAACATATACTAACATATATTAACATATATTAACATATATTAACATATGTTAACATATATCAACATATATTAACATATCTTAACATATATCAACATATATTAACATATATTAACATATACTAACATATATTAACATATATATAACATATAACATATACATATACTAACATATATTAACATATATTAACATATATTAACACATATTAACATATATTAACATATAACATATATTAACATATATTAACATATATTAACACCTTAAAGACATCTAAAGACTGGAATGCACTTCTGGAAACAGACATTGCAAATCTGGTTGCTGGGTTGAAATATTCTGGCGTGTTGTCTCAGAATGGGGGATGCCTCCAGTAATGCACAAAAACGGGATGTGACATCATGTGTAGTAGTGGATTGGTGGTCTCAGATTTGCCAAAGCAATTTTTCAAGATCTGCAAACAGCTCCCAACATTGGAATTCTGGTAGATTGGCCAACATATCAATGAAAAAAAACAAACGACTGTCAGATTTCGAACAGCAGATGTCGGAATTGGTGATAGTTGGCTAATACCTTGACTACTGTGGAGCACCTTTGAAACCATCCCGGGATGCCTCAGGATCTGGTCTTTAGCAGCTGTGGTAGCCTTGTCTCTGGCACACCGGATGGTGGTTTTCGCGACCAGCAGGGTCTTCTGAGACTTGTGCAGGTGCTCGGAATTTTGAGGACACTCAGTGTACAGTCTCTGATACATTGTCACTATGAATACTACTGCATATCTACACGGGCTACCTGCTACAAATGGGAAATGGCTTCATAAAAAAAAACAACAACAACCCTTTGTTTTAGATTGAATGCTGTTCGATCAGACAATTCCCCATGGTGTTGTGCTATCTACCAGAGTGCGTTGGGTACCCCCAATGCAGTGGTTTATCATCCTTTTCCTCTAATCGAATAGACACAAGCGAGGGTGACCAATAAATGATTGAGATGCGTCCTGGGACGCATCGTGGTTGTTGCTGGTTAAGATTCGCCCTATAAGCCATGTTTTTTTTGGGAGGTTGACCGATTTTTTGTCGCTTGGTTGAATCTTAACCCGAATTAAAACTCCATTCTCAGACACACAAAAACCCAAATATCATATTCTGTTAGTTATACACTTATAGTAGTTATACATCCATATAACATATTAAAGAAGTTTAAAGAACATAATATGGTTACATCCCACTCACTTTTCTTACTTTACCACACCCTATTTTCCAGCCCATGTTCAATCTGCGAAACCTCGGTAGGTGGTGCGAGTCCCATTGCTGCCTGACATGGACGAAGATGAGGTGGCTGATGTCCTCTACGACACAGCAGCTCGACCTAGCGAGCTGCTGAGATTTCGCTTGAAATTGGCCTACAAGGTGGTGCCCCATAGTTCGTTAGCTAAGTTGGTTTATAACTCCCATAACTATGGTTTATGGCAGATATAACTATAGTTAATGGGGCTTATAAACCCACTTATAACTGGGGGACCTCACATTGTAGTTTTTTGGAGAAAACACGAAGGAAAAGCTGAGATTCTTCCTATAGGATTTTAGGATTGGATTGTGCATCTGGCGAACTTTGCTGGAGTCCAAGAGTGAGTTAGTAGCCTCTGGTAATTTGTTACATAGCTAGTGAACATCACCATTTATAGTGGATTTTTTCCTTGAAAAATGGTGATTGTCCATAGTTATGTAAACGTTTACCAGAGGGTATATCCAAACATGACCATTTTCTCATGGAAAAGAAGGACACTTATTTTCTAGAGCCGTTGGATTTGCGGGGACCCCACTGCCAGGGTGCCCGCTGAACTTTTCAGGGTAGCGAATCATGATTTGGCCATATGGGGGTTTCCATAAATGGAGGATCCCCAAGCTCGCTGGATGGTTTACAATGGAAAATCCATCTATAAATAGATGATTTAGAGGTACCACCCATTTTTAGGACCCCCCCCATATATATATATATACATATATATATATCTTCATAGGCAATATCGACATGTTTCTGCATATTAGATATGGATCTCCAGCAGAAGTCTGCGAAGAGTCGAGTCTTTTAACAGTATCACCTGTGGGGTACCAGATGGAAAAGTCATGTTCCATAATTTGCAATGTTTTTTTTTTCCATGTAACATGTATACAATAGATACTTAATTCTATACTACAGATATACTATAGCTATACTATAGATATACGTATATCTGTAGTATAGCTATAGTATAGCTATAGTATATCTAAAGTATTTCCATGTAACATGTAAACATATTTTAATCGGACTTTGCTTTTCCGACTCTGTTTCTGAGTCAGCAAAAAATGCGCGAAATTCGGGGCTAGAAATTTTGCCATTGCCCAGGTGCATTAGAATCTCGAAGTTGTGTCTTCAAAACCATTTTTTTCAACAGGTGATACACATAACTATGGGACAGTCTTAGATGGGTAGAAACTATATATATATAATCCTTTAGTCTTTTGGTATCAATGGGATTTGGATTATCTGATTATCTACGTTCACCAGCTAAGAGTTTAATACAATTCAGTGTTTTACAGGGTATCTAAGATTGGCCATAATAATCCGCGGGGTGATCCTCCAAATAGTCCCTTCTCCCTCATTTCTTGGTGGATGATATGGGCTGTAAGGGTTGCTAACAGCAAAACTCATTTGGAGGTTTCCAATCCATAGGGGTACCCCCAGTTATCATCCATTTATAGATTGGATTTTCCATGAAATAAACCAACCAGCTATTGGGGTATCCCCATTTGAGGAACCCCCCCATTTATTATTATCTATAGTATAATACTATTTGATATACTATAGATAATCTATTAGATACACTATAGATATACTACAGATATACTATGATATACTATGATATACTATAGATATACTATAGATATACTATAGATCATCTATTAGATACACTACAGATATACTATCATATACTATAGATATACTGTAGATCTACTATAGATATACTATAGATCATCTATTAGATACACTATAGATACACTATAGATATACTACAGATATACTATGATATACTATAGATATACTATAGATATACTATAGATCATCTATTAGATACACTATAGATATACTACAGATATACTACAGATATACTATAGATATACTATAGATCATCTATTAGATACACTATAGATATACTACAGATATACTATCATATACTATAGATATACTGTAGACATACTATAGATATACTATAGATCATCTATTAGATACACTATAGATATACTACAGATATACTATAGATATACTATAGATATACTATAGATATACTATAGATATACTATAGATATACTATAGATATACTATAGAGCATCTATTAGATACACTATAGATATACTACAGATATACTACAGATATACTATAGATATACTATAGATCATCTATTGGATACACTATAGATATACTACAGATATACTATCATATACTATAGATATACTGTAGACATACTATAGATATATTAGATACACTATAGATATACTACAGATATACTATGATATACTATAGATATACTATAGATATACTATAGATATACTATAGATATACTATAGAGCATCTATTAGATACACTATAGATATACTACAGATATACTACAGATATACTATAGATATACTATAGATCATCTATTGGAAACACTATAGATATACTACAGATATACTATGGATATCTATGGGACATGTATGTTGAGGTCCTCATTTCTTCGTCTGAGGTCCTGACCAAGGTGGTGAAGTCTCAGCTCTGGATGAGCCACGGCAGCCACGGGTTAGGCTTAGCCATGCCACGGTCACCATAAAGATTACGATAATAGGAATGTGTGTCTAAAATGATCTAAACAGTACAAACTGTACATATATATATATATACATACATGTATTTTTATATATTAATATATATATATATGTGTGTGTTATGTATATATATATATGATATGCAATTCTGCATATATATATATATGTACGAACGCTTGTCGATAGGACTGATAAAACGACCATCAAAACACATGCATGCGGAATGACGAAACGATGACCAAATGATCTGACAAAGACCCTGCGAAGATCGAGGATTCAGGCCGAATATGGGTATTGAAGCAAGAATAGTGTGTATCAGTTGGCTTATGGCTTGCCCCGGTGCCACTGAGGAAGGAAACTGCGACCTTGCCACACGTCGCTTGGAAGTTTTTATATGGGTGGGCATGGTAGATGTGAAGCGAAAGCAACCCGGGTTGAGAAAGTAGGAGGCGCATCATAGAAGCTGAAAGATCTACCGCAAACCAAAGGATCTTGCTGGTGCTGCGGATTATGATGATGATGGTGGTGATGATGGTGGTCGTGATGATGGTGACGACGGTGACGATGACCTCAATGATGATGAGGTTGTTGATGTCGATGATGGTATTTGTGATGATGAACATCATGATGATGATGATGATGATGATGTTGCTGCCGCCGCTGCTGCTGCTGATGAATAATCTTTTTGAGCATGCCCTCTTTCAAACACTCACAACTGCGAGAAGACTCGTTTGAAGGCTCCATGGCCATCTCTGCAACTCTCAGGCCATGATCAAAATCCGTGCGCCATGGGCATGGCTAAGATCCCAACGTTGAAACACACTCTAAGAGGAAGAAGCATTTTTCTGCAGAAAGTCTTTGAATCTGTTCAAACTGTTCAATTGGAACATCATCTTACCTTCTTCCGGACGCAATTCTTCTGAAGTAGAGCTGCGTCTGAAGGGATTTTTCACCACCTTGGTTTCAATTTCCAGTCATTCTATGTCCAGACGCATGACATGTGCTCGACCACCATCGGACCAAAACCCCAGGAGTTCATCATTTTCTGCTGGCTGCCACCAGTAGGTGCCTATAAGGCCGGGATGTGCATCTGGATGGGATGATCAACCCACCCTCTGGTAATTTAACATAGCTATTGAACATGGCCATTTATAGAGGATTTACCCATTCGAAATGGATTTTCCATAGTTATGTTAATTTACCAGAGGGCAATTCTGTGGTGTTCCGAAAAAAAGATCAGCATTTCTGAACATCTCACAACATTTTCACGAAGCAATTCATCATGGTTGAGGAGTAACAACCAGCAACAACCAAGTAACCTTATCCCACCAGCGTCGAGGCATGTCTGGAGGATACCGACGCCTTGCTGTGGACAGCCTCTCGGTTAGATGCTGCTCCTCCATCATCGTCATCGTCGTCATCACGATGGATGGCAATACAGTATATCTGGTAAATTATAGCGACCTCACTGTTCTCCCTCACTGGAATCATGGTTAGGATTCGGGGAATCATCCCCAAATGGCCGCAAGATTCAGGTTAGTGAAATATTATAATTTACCCAGAGTATATGTTACCCAGTTACCCCCTAAAATATACATGGCATCACATAGTAATAGTTGGCTGCATTCGATTCATATCCAGCATATCCCTCTGCCCCATGTTTTTTTTTGAAGAAAAAAAATGTGAAACGTAGATCAAATGATGCATCCTCAGTATCTTGCTCAATTTGTCTTGTGAACTTGACCACATTCTTGAGACACATTGGGTGAAAACTCCCTGCGGCCCCTGCGTTTGTTGACTTGATCAAGTCTCTTCTCCATGGCAAAATCATGGCAAAGTCCAGCGTTTTCCTAGTAGAATATCCTGAAATCCACCTTTTTCCTAGTAGAATATCCTGAAATCAACAACAAAATCAGCAACAAAATCCCCATAATTTTCCGCATCTCCCAGCATCTCCCAGCATTTTTCATCCCCAACCTCCACACGGCGCCACGCGGCGCCACGGGGCGCCCCCCCTCGGCGCTCGACGAAGCGCGCTCGCTGAGGACGCCTTGCTGTGGAACCTCCGCGCCGGCGGATGGCCCTTCAGCCTGGTGGTTCAGGTGCCTGAGGAGCCAGGCGGGATATGTTTCCATTGTAGAAATCGGTAGCAAAATCATGGTGTCATGAAGATTTCATGAAGTACTTTTTTTTGTCAGGCTGAGAATCAGAACCATCACCTGAACGCCTGAACCAAACCAAAGCTGTGAATTGCATCCATCCAAAGTGCACGGATCCAGCAGGTAACCTCTTCCCCAAGAACTTTGGTTTTCGTAACCTGAGCAAAGTGAAGAAAGACTATGCTCGAGAGTCTCTGGGCAGGATGGGCATCAGGAACTGGTACGTTTTTTTCACCATTTTGAGTCATACTGGTCATACTGGTTGGTGGTGACTGGAACATGGCTTTTATGACTTTCCATTTCATCTATGGGATGTCATCCTTCCCATTGACGAACTCCATCATTTTTCAGGGGGTGGCGAAAAACCACCAACCAGCGTAGATCGGAGTTTGGGAGACTTCTGGGAGACATCGGAGATATCGAGTTGTGGGATACCGATGATGCTTCCTCGCGCCGAGAAACGGTTCTATTTTGCTCTGGGTTTCCTTCAATTTGCTGGTTCTTTCATGTTCTTTCTCTTATTTCGGGGGGTTTTGTGGAATTTGTTGCTGCTTCCTTCTTTGGTTCATTGAAACCATTTGTGCAGGGATAAATCACCATGCTGGTTGAGGAAATCACTGCTCTTGGTTCACGAAAATCCCAACTCCTGATTTTGATACCAATTTTTGAAACTTACCACCTGTTTGATTTTGTGGACTTCCTAAATTCAAACTTACCACATAAAGATCCGCATATCAAAACGCGTTTCTTCACAACGCGCCTCGCATCAACAATGGTTCTCGCTGGCGCTTTTTGAGGCTGAGCTATTTCCTGAATGCCGCCGACTTTGAGGAGGATGATGCTGCTGGCCGAAACTATGGAAATCCCATGGTGATCCAAGAATCCCCTTGAGTGTTTGACAGTTTGCTATGGAAAATGGATGAAAATGGCCCATTTATATCTATTTATATCTATTTATTTAAATGACTTAAGTGATGAATTTATGATTCATTGAGAGGCTCTGTTACCTTCTGGTTATTCAAAATAGCTGACGAACATGGCCCATTTAGTTCGATGATTTGTCATGCTTTGCCGTTTCTTTTAACATTGTGATTTCTACATTAACTTACCAGAGGGCAATATACAGTTGGGTTTCGCTAGAACATAATTGATATATTATGTTAATATCATTGAATAGCATCTAAAGAACATGATCTAGACGATTGATTTTCAGTGAATACACGAGCTTAAATTCATGTTGTTCATTCCTTTATTTATGTGTTCCCGTTCTAATCTCTGTTTGACATCTCTGTTTGGGCCCAAGGAAGACGAGCTGCTGTTCGATTGGGATCTTTTTGAGGCCGAAGAAAGCATCGCTGAGGATTCCGAGGGCTCGACCTGTGAGACAAAGACTTGGGATGTGGATCAGTGGCTGGGATGAAACATTTGTCCTTTAAGGAACCAGAAAGATCAGAAAACTCTATCTGTTTAAATTTTTCACCTCAGGTTGTTGGACAGCGGAGAGTGGGACCGGCAGCCATCATGCTCCGGGTAGCCAATGGGGACAATTTCCGCCCAAGCTTTACTTGTTCAAGAGGAGACTAAGGCTATAAGGTTGTGTAGCAATTCGCAATCCCACATTGATCCCATGTACCGCTGGATGCCGCTGGGCTCCTGTCTGTAGAATCTAATGATGAAATCAATCGGCTTGGGGTAGCACTGGTTTGCATCTGGTTTGCATCTGGTTTTGCATATGCTTAATTAATCTTAATTATATAGATTTTTGAATCCACTTGCAAGTAGGATAGGCACAAATTGTGGATGGCTTATCAACCCATAAAGAACTGGGATGCTCAAGCAGCGGGAATGTTTCAGAATGTGAGATCATATTCGCTGATGTCTTTCTGTGCAAACTAGAAATGACCCTAAAAACAGACCCCCATCATTTTCGTTCATGACAAATCCCCATAAATCCAGATAAATCTCCATCATATCACATATCCTATGTTTTTTTCATGTTTTTTTTTTCCCATCTTAAAGCCGTTTATTCATCTTTTTGCCCAATCTTTGGTCCTTTTCAGATCATCGACCCACGCGAACTCCCCAGGCTCCTACATCGCGTGCTGATGGCTATCGAGTTGATCCAGGCGACTTCGGCTTCGCCAGGGAGCCTCGGCTGCCTCTGGTAAATGTTTACATAACTATGGAAAATCACCATGCTATTAATGGGTTAATCAACTATGACAATTCTCAATAGCTATGTTTGTTTACCAGAGGGTATAATTTCATAATATTGAATATGTATTATAATGTCATACACGGCGTGTTACATACTAAATCCGCACCATGTCAGTGACCAAGAGCGCCCTCCCAAAACCATGACCATCCCAGGTTTGCTTCGACGGAAGCCGAAGGTGCTCATGGCAGTCCAGACGAAGTCGGGAGCAGCTTGGCGAAGATATCGTGAAGTTTGTCGGTGGAAATTCAGATAGCCTAGCGATCACTGCGATCAAGCCATCATTTAACCGACCAGATTAACAAGTATTATAATATCACCACCCCTTCCCCTTGAATGTAAAATTGGTCGCTGAACGTCCCTCAGGTGTCGTTTTTGTGGGGAGGGTCTTCAAAATACCTTCAAAATGTAAGCTTACATTTTCAAGGCCCCTCAAAAACACCTTGAAAAATGTAGCTTACATTTTGGGTACATCCACCTCCCTTAAAACGATGGTAATATAAAGATAATATATAATATTCTATAATAGTGAAATTCACAAACAATTATAATAAACAATAAGAATATGGTAATAAATAGAAATGCCAAGAATTGCAAAAATAATGATAGCTATTAAACAACAACACATCTATTTGTCTTGGCCACTGATGGTTTTCAACTGGGATCTCATCGCATCCTATCATCCCCATCCAGCACATATCTCAAACACATGGAGGCTGTATATAACTATATAAAACTATATATGTGGTAAAACCAATGCCATTTGCACCATCCCCCAAAATCACCATAAATATATAGGTGGTATAGAATGTTTACCATTCCCAGTCATGGGTGGTAAAAATGGCATTGTTTCAACCACATTAGTCATGTACTGGATCCATGTTGGAGAAAAACTTGAACGAACGCAAGTCTCCATTGCCATGGCCATGATTGCTGGAGGTTACCCTCTGTTCAACTCACATAGCTATGGAATGCTATGGAACCATAGACCATTTTTTCATGATTTCCAGCTGATTTCCAGCTGGAACAGCCATGGATTTCCAGCCAGAGGAAGTCACAGTGATGGTCTCAAGCAACATCCCGCGATTGCCGCCGACCCTTGGTGATTTCGCATGGTGCATCCCGTTGTTGGTAAATGGCTAGGCATCGTGCAAGATAAATGGAAGGTTCTGGAATATGTGCCCCCAACATATAATATATGATTATATATGTATAAAATTAATATATATATATAGAGATACATTATATAGGTGGGTTATTAACCACTTACGATGCCTGGGGTTGTATTAACTGGGTCAATGAACCACTCACGATGTGATGCGCACCTCCAAGTGAAAGTCCCATCTGAGTTTGATCCGAGGAAGTCCACTGTTGCTTCAAGGGCCCCAGTTATAGATTGGTTTATGTTCACCCGTCTGACTAATAACTAATAGTAGATATATCCACCATAAATCCTACTTACCATAGTTTATAAACCAACTTTGTCTCAATCGTTTGGGGGGCATTCCTGTGCCTTTCGCGTTTTTTTTGGATTGAAACTGTTCTTTATAGGCCATTTCAATCAGCTCTGTGGGAGAGGATCCAGCCATCCAGCCATCCAGCGCAGCGCAGCTTAGCGCAGTGCATCTGAGGACGATACATCAAGGCCCAAAATTGATGCATGGGGATACCGCTACTTTTGTATCTCGGCTACCGAGGCGCTCATCGGAAGATGCTGTGCAGTATCTCTGAGGTTTGAGAGATATAAAAAACATATATTTATACAGCAGTAAAGGTAGGTATCTTACTGGTATCTTGACCTTGGAATAATGGTCCCTTTAAGTATCATTGATAAGTAATATTATACCTATATCTTATTTGGTAAAGATACTTAAAGGCTATTCTTACCATTACTTCAGACCATACTCACTCAGGCACTTGTTAGGAACTGAGGCCTTCAACCAGGGTGCATCCTGGTTGCTAGTTGTGGGTAATAAGCATCTTATAAGTTGTTTATATCAATGGCCATTTCAGGTACCGATTTATTGGAGGTGCCTACCTATATAGGGGCTATATAAGAGGACATATCCTCAAAACATTGCCTTTTATGGTACAGGTACAGTACCTTCAATTTTGGGGTCCTGAATTTTCCACGACATATATACGGAAGATCTACAAGTAGATATAGGCCATGATTCGTTACACATGGGTCATGAACAAGACAACCGGGGTGCGCATCCAAGCTGCGCTACCAATTGTTTGTCACCCAAATTTTAGATCCTTTCTCTTCTGGTTGGTGGTTTGGAACATGAATTTTATTTTTCCATTTCATATATGGAATGTCACCATCCCAACTGAGGCACTCATATTTTTCAGAGGGGTGGCGAAAAACCACCAACCAGTCTTGTTTGGGTAGGGCTTGCAGGGGTTGTCGGGGGTTGTTACATGTCAGATTTGGGGATTTGAAGCATTGCTCGAAGTTGGACATGATTCCTCCAACCCTTTTGTTTGGCAGTGTCCAAATAGGAGATTGAGTCACGCCTGCTTTTGCAAGGTTTTTTGTGACTCCCCCCCTTTGGTGGTTAGACCGTTAGAATCCGTTAGACCTGCATTTGTTGATCTTCACCTCACCTTGTTTGCTGGCTAATTCGTCATTTTCGTAGGTTAAAGTTTGATGAACTCACCATGTTTGACGGTGAAAACCTATGGATTTTCGCAGAATTTTCACGAAAGCTAGCGTCAGCTAGCTGGAGTCTTCTTGCTTTAGCAAGTATTGGGGGGGCTGCTCAAGGACATCACGTGATTTTTCACGCGAAAGGGGGGCCCCCCCCCTCCCCCACCACCACCACCACCACCATCACCACCACCACCATCACCACCATCACCATCACCATCATCATCATCATCATCGTCATCATCATCGTCATCATCATCGTCATCGTCCTCTCCATCGTCCTCGTCCTCGTCCTCGTCCTCGTCATCATCATCATCATCATCATCATCATCATCATCATCATCATCATCTCTTCATCATCATCATCGTCGTCCTCGTCCTCGTCATCGTCCTCGTCATCGTCATCGTCATCATCATCATCATCGTCATCATCATCATCATCATCATCATCATCATCATCATCATCATCATCATCATCATCATCATCATCATCATCCATCATCATCATTCATCATTCATCATTCATCATTCATCATTCATCATTCATCATTCATCATTCATCATTCATCAGCATCATCATCATCATCATCATCATCATCGTTATTCAATTACATTTTATCATTATTGGCAATTATTGTCATTATCACGAAAGCTAGCGTCAGCTCGCTAGAGTCTTCTTGCTTTAGCACGTATTCCGGGGCTCCCCAAGGACATCACGTGATTTTTCCCGCGAAAGGGCCCCCCCCTGCCCCCTCCCCCATATATATCATTGTTATATATCATATATCAATATATCATTGTTGCATCCTCGTTGGGACGAACAATGCCGCGACACGATGATGACAGTCCCTCCGCAACTCACCTCTTCCCTTCCTTCTTTCTCCTACCCCGCTAGCTTTCGTCATCCACCCCCGGCCTCAAGTCATGGTAGACGGCTTGCCCGGTAGATTCGGAGATGCCCAGGTTCCACTCGCAAATCCTTCGGCTGAGGTGGTCCTTCGCTACCGCGGCCAGCCGCACAAGAGCTTTCCTGGCAACCTGAGGTCTCAACGTTGCAGTGTCGCTTCCAAGAGATTGGACATGCTAAGATCGAAGGCAAAATTTCAGGACGCTGAGCACCCCACCTGGTGGCGCAACGTGCAAGGGTTTTTCCCGTTTAGGATCCAAATCTAAATGATAGACGTCTGTATTTTACTCAGATGGTAGACTTAGGATATTGCACCGTATCTAGCACATTATGAACTATATTTAACATAAGCCACACAAACATGTTATCTCAAAATATCTCAATATTGAATTGGAAAATCTTCAACTTCAACCCTCTGGTTGCTGGTTTCAAGCGTTGCTGAATCCCGTTTTTCCCCCATGAACCACTCCTACATGGACCCAAATGGAAAAGTTCCATTACATTCCATTACTAAACCAGGCTTTTGCAACAGCTTTGCTTAGGAACGAAGGAATCAAGGGATGATTTCCCAAGCCGATAGTCCTTAGGCTGGTTATCCCGAAAAATCCAAGAATGACTCATGGGAAAGCCTGGATGAATGGTGGATTGTCACTACAACTGGGGTTTTAATGGTGGATTGTCATCATTAAACCCTGGATTAGTGGTCTGATTAAGTTTTGAATAAATCAGACTTGACTTCCGGGGCCTGGTTTTGGGCCCTTGAATGAAACCCAGAAACACCTAAGCATCGTGAGGACTGGAAGTGTTGGATGGGTGCCCAAGGCATTTTCACCTCGCTCATCGTCGGGATCTCAGTCATGAGGAGATGACAAACAGAAATTGGATAGAAATTGTCATGAGTATCTTGAGTTGGACCCGCAATCAATGGGGAGCCAACACGTTCTGGGTTTTTTTCATCAGCGACTATGGCAGATCAAAAGCACACTTTGGTTCCATTTTCCATGCCATTTTCCATGATGAACAATGTCCCGCTTTGGAAGCTTGGACGTCCAACTCTTGCTCACTTCGGGGCAGTACAGGGTGCCAGGGTGAATTGATGATCAGGACAATCTGGTACTGTAGCTGTTGGTTCGATTTGATTCCCTGCTGGTTTATGGTCGAATAAAAAGGTGGTATCCCTGAAGCTGGCAAGAAAACCCCCGCAAAAACGTGAGAAAGCTATCCAACTGATCGACATTGTTGGCATGGCGAAAAACCACCAGCAGTCAGCAATCGAGCAGTGTTCAAAGAAAGCCCCTGTTGATCCTGTAGGTTAATGATTGTAGGGGGTTAACTATCCAATAGAATGTCAACCCCGGATTAATAAACCCTGGTTTATTAATTAGGGGGGTACTCCTCCAATAGTCATAACATGGTACTTAAATGGTACCCTCCCAAGTAAACAGCCTAGGGGTTTATTAATCCAGGGCTGACATTATTGTGGATGATCACAATCCATGATGGGAAATCCTAGTAAGCAACCAGTTTTTAACGGGATGGCAGACGGTCTTGAACGCTGCTGAACTAGATCCTACAATCATCATAGGCACAGGGTTCAAACTTCCGGCAAACTTGCAGAAGAATGAAATAAATATAAATAAATAACAAGTCTCTCCATCTGAAAACCTAGCGGACATGAATTTTCCGATGGTTTGTTTAGGGCCAGAGTTTGTTGCGATTCGTGAGAGCCCAATTTGAGGAGAAACGGCTTGGAATGGCAAGTCATGCTGCCGCTTGGACAAGCTTGGCGTTGGGGGGGTTGTAGAATTGTAGATGTTCGAAGAGTTTCAGGTGGTTTCGAAGGAAACAACAAAAATCATCCGGAGATGGGTGTGAAACGTCCGAGTTGCGAGTTGCCGCCGAAAATGCCACCAGGATGTGCCGTTGATCCACTTGATGCTCGTGGCAAAGTTCAACTTGGACTGCCGCTGATACTGTGATTGCAACCATCTGCAACCTTTACTGAAAAGATGGGTGCCGTGTACAGAACCATTCCGATTGCAGTCGGTAGCTTCACGAGCACCACTGCGGTCTTTATGTACAGAGGACGCCTTTGAAGGTGGAAAAATGAGGTCATATCACTCCATCATGAAGTGGGGGTTCTGGTGCCCGGGAAATGTAGCTTCCTTACAAACGATGCAGGGTAGACATAACATATAGTCATATAGTGATGGTCGCTTACCATGAATGTATGTATGTATACGTTATATACATATATGTATAACATATTATGACATTATATATATATATTATAAAAATAATGATACAGTAATCAATAAATAATCAAACACATGAATAGATACATATAACTAAATAAATACATAAATAGATAGCGATGCTTGAATCTCATGGCTTTTTTGATGGTCAGATCCTTTCCTGGTTCCTGATGACACCCTGATGGTGAAGTCCCTGATGTTCCAAGGAGCTGTTTGCAGACTTGGACTTCAAGAAACAGTACGGGCTGGGAGCAGCGTCCTGGTGGCAGCGTCCATGGTATCAGTGGTGGTCCTCGTATGGGAATTTTGAAGAAGAGATCGTTGCCACAAAACAATCTGGACTGAACCATAATGGGATTTTATTGCTTTTTCGTGGGATATGCGGCTTAACCAACCACATATATATATATATATTTATGTATATATATATATATTGATATTGGAACATATCTTCAGGGGATGGGTAAATCATTGTGTATTAAACCACTAGAAATCAGGAGAGAATGGCCAGATTGGCCCGATATGGCCTGGCCTCTTTGCGAATGGCATTTTGAAATGACGATCCATTTAATATATATATATAATTCCTAATATTATGATAATAGCATAGTTTGTACAACATCTACAACGATATAATTATATGGTGAATACTTGAATATTTTATGATATTACGGGATTTATGAAAATTGACCACGAAGAATGGTGATATGGGGATATCGGGATATGATGTTTTTTATGGGAAAATCATCTAGAAGTATCTATAAGTGAGGTTCGATTGCAGAAGGGCACGTATTCCATGGTTTATTCCACCCTACCTGGAATGATGATTCCATTTATATTATATATGGTTTTCGGGATATCTTGACACATAGATGAGATGGTCGCAGAGATCTTCCGGGAAGGCACGATGTCTTCACCCGTTGTGTCTTCAGTCATTCGAGTACGAGTACGTACGAGTACTAAGGAGGGATCCACAGAAATGATAGTAAGATGGTGTTCACCCCATATTAGAAACTACCATGGCCATGGAGGTTGCTTTCACCAACTGTTTATCATTAAAATCAATGGGGAATGCTATTGAAAACTTTCGCGTTTGCCACATTGGCGTGATCCTTTCCCTAAAAAAAACCGCATGGCCATGGAATATGAATAAATCAGATACCCTCTGGTAAACGTTTACAAAAAACTATGAAAGATCCACCATTTTTCATGGGAACATCCACGAACTAAATGGGTTGTTTTCTATAGCAAACCGTTAGTCATTACCAGGCCGGGTACATTTTTTTTGGATCGTGGGATGTTCCATTGCCATGTTACCAATATGGTGATCGCCCCCTATATATAATATATGATAAGAACAATAGTGATAATCATGATTAATAATGATGATAATGATAATTAATAGACATAAAGATGAATAAAACATAATAATAATAATAAATAATAATAAATCATAATGAATAATAATAAATAATAATAAATAATAATACTTAATAATAATAATAGTAATAATAATAATATATACATATATATATATTATATGTGTATATATCCCAACCTCACCAATCATCAACAGGGCTTTCCAAAACGCAGCCACTGGGTTTCCCACGTTTCGCTCAGAAATTCTGGATCAGGTGAATTCCATCAACTGGGCGAGGATCATGTTCCAGATCACGTGCCTGCGGGAGAAGAGATTTCATCGTTGATTTATCTTTTTTTGTTAATTGAAAATGGCCATTTATAGTGAGTTTTCCCATAGAAAGTGGTGATTTTCCATAGTTTTGTTAGTTTACCAGAGGGTAATGGTACCCCCAAAAAAGGATAGAGATTTGTGATTTGTGACTAACTATAGGATTTTATAAATTTCTATCGATTTTGGGGTTGCTGCAAGGAAGAGAAGGTATTTCTACATGTCAAAAAAAAAAGTGTTTCTGTCTACGCATATAGACTGGATGTCATACAATCTGTGGTATGAAGTGATCGTCAATGATTGCAATAACTTAGGAAATCTGTGCTCACCATGTTGAGCAGGAAATGTCGCAGCAAAGCTTTGTGAAGCCCCAACACCCTCAAAGCAAAAGGATCGAGGATGAGTAATGACACTGCATCGTCATAGTAAGACCGGAACAGATAGTAGGATCTCTCTTTTCAATCTTCATTTCTTTGGATTGCTAGAGATAGTTGATATGACTCATAGTCATGCAGCAGGAGCTTTTTCTGTGCTATCATGATCAACATGATCGTTCTGAATCTTTTTGAAAAATGTATCTAGTTTCGGATTGTTCGATTGTATAGTCGTCATCTTATAGTCGTGCCGATCTTACTTTTCCATTTTTGTGACATACCCTCTGGTTATTTAACATAGCCATGGTATAGATGGCCCATAGAAATAGATGGTTTACCTATAAAAAATGGTGATTTTCCATGGCAAAATGTTAGTCATAACCAGTCGTATTCATGATTACTGACATGCTGACATACTGCCATTTTCGCCATGCCATTTCTTTTCCGGAGGACGGATAGGTTTCTGGTGCATCCGGTGCGAGAAGCAACTGGCTGTAGCATCCCGAATTTTTTGAGGTGGAATATGGGGGAATCAACATGTTTTTGTATATATATACACAGTATATATATATATATCTATATATAATAATCTGCTGAAAGATGTGTTGATGTAACATGATATATATATAATTGGACATACACGTCAGACTATACATGGAATACACCTAGAGATACCATCGCCGCGATGAAAGCTCGAGCCACTATGAACGCTCCTCACCTGTCGTGGGTCTAAGATCAAGTGCTTTAAGATGAATAGAAGATCATTAATCTGGGTAAATTATAACGACCTCACTGCAACCTCACTGGAAATCATGGTTAGTAAGGGAAATCATTCCCAAATGGCCTTAATTCAGGTTAGTGAATTATTATAATTTACCCAGATTAATAAGCACTTGAATAAATGACCTGGAATTAATATGAAATGACACTGTAAAATCCACCATCATTGATGTAGGCAATCTCTTCTAAGTGTCCTGGAATATCAATTTTCTGAATTTTCCAGCGGAGCTGATGACACGGGTAGGCCATGGTATTTCCATCAGAGGCCCGGGAAAAATCTGAGCCTAGTCGTGGCCAAGAGACCTCCATCAAAATGCGGCCAACGGCTTTCCCCGGGAAGGTACTACTTCTCCACGTATTTCAAGTGTGAACGCTCAGAAAGCCTGGCCGGAGGTCATGGTTTGAAACCCATCAAGCCATAGGCTTCAACGCCCCATTTGCTAACTTGACTTGAGCTTGGTTTGTCAATCACAAAAACAGGTCTACAAAGCCAGGCAGTGATGATTGTATGTAATGATGCTACTACATAAAAAAGACAACATTCTTGTCTTGTATATGTCATAAACATTCATAAACTGTGTGTATGTACGTATATATATATAGATATACAATGATTATATATATATATCATATTATATAATCCATACAACATGTTATACATCATACTCATACATATAAACTATAGTTACCGTTAGATATGTCAGCTACCCCAAGCTTCACCTTCCGAGGCTCTTTCCCGGCTTGGACGGTGAGATCAGTTTCAGCGTGCCCACGGGCAACTTCGGGGATATCCTCGCAGGGTGCGCCTTTTGAACCAGGGGATCGAGGGGTTCAGGCCAGGGAAGGTTGATATTTATGGTGATTTAACCAGCAAACCGAGGTGATTTAACCAACAAAAATGGTGATTTAACCAACAAACAGAGGGATTTTATGGGAATCTTCTTTGAAATGATGGGATTCTAATGCGTATAACCATGGGATTTTACCCACATCAAGTTGGAATATGGGGCCCTTGACTATGGTGAGGAAATCCACTTACAACCCTGACTGCTGAAGTGTCTCGAAGTCATCATGAAGGACAAAATCGATGAACATGTGCAAGAAATGGGATTGGAAGTGGGTGAGATTGGTTTCTGTAAGCGGTTGTGGGTTATTTAAGTCAAATGTCGATATATCTAGATATACCATTCTATACGTGTATGTCTGTACATGTAACATACATATATATATATAAGTTTGTGGGTGAATTCCCCGTTTTTGTCCAGCCCATTTGTCAGGTACTATGCAAAGAGAATGGGCTTGCCGATCAAAAATCTGATCGTGGCCCTGCACTGAGCACCGTTCATTTTTCGTTCATGGTGGTGGGGTCAGGATTTTGCCCAGGTAGGGACCCTGGACCCTAAAAAATGAACAGATCCAGTACTATACCAAAGTAGTAAGTAGAGATACATACATATATATATACATACATATCTATATATATATGGATATATATATAGATATATAGATATAGATATACACAAAGAATAAGTACCCACCTAGACGCTCTGAGACTCCATCTACTCTTTTTCTGGGGTAACCAAAGGCAATTTATATGTCGAGCGTGTGGGGATGGCTCAAAATACCTTTATGGAGGGCTAGTCGAATGAGTCTTGGCCAGCAGGATTTCTTCTGGAAAGTCGATGGATGCTGATGGTCCTTGTCAACTTCAATGTGGTTCACATGTTTTTTTCATGGTCGCTGCACATGTTGTATAACAGTCACAAGCCCCCCCCACTTCTGTGGCCATGTAGCCACAGCAGTAATGGGCAGTGCCTATCCTTGGTGCGAAGAATCCCACTGAGTTTTTGACCCTGTTTCACAAGCGTACGCTTTGCCGCCCTGATTGTTTTGATCAGAATCCCACTTCTTCTAATGCACCAATGCACAAGCATACTGCACGAAGATTCCAAAGATGCGGATTAATGATCATGAATCATGAATCTAAAGGCTTGATCATTAATTGCTTTTTGCGC